AAAGAAAGTATAAGGAAGAGTTCAAAGAAAGTCTCCAGGAGATGGCTTATAAAGGGAACTTGAAAAGATGGATAAGAATTCATGGAACCTTGGGACCAGCAGTTAGTGTAATGGCTATGTCGCTGGACTCCCACGTAGTCGACCACAGTTCGAATCCCGGACCCAGTGACTTAAAACTCATGCCGGGCGCGTGTGCGTGCGTGCCCAAGATCCCGAGAGGAGAAGGGAGGAGAAGGGATTGTGGCGTGGCCATCCCCTGCGGGGGATGATTTCTCGCTTTCTGTCTCTCTCTGTCTGTCTGGCGAGTGCATGCACCCTATAGCACAAAGAAAAACCTCTCCAAAAAAAAAAAAAAAAAAAGAATTCATGGAACCTTCAAGTATGGGAAGGGTGTTCCATTGAGAGTGAATAGCCCAAGCAAAGATACAGATATGTGGGAAGTGTGATGTGTTAGAGCAAATATAAGTAGTTTGGTCTATAGTATTATCATCCCATGGCTAAAATTAAGTCATCTCTCCACTGTGAATGAAAACACAAGTTGACAATTATATGGGGTTGCTTTGATCCATTCTCCATGAATGAGACTAAATTGTGGCTCCTGGGGGATTGGGGATGTTGCCCAACACTGAAGACTAACTGAACCATCTGTCTTACATGTGATTTTGTCTCACTGACCCTGATTGGGTCTTTAGGTAATTCGCCAGCCAGTGAGCAAACACACCCTTGTGTCTTCATTTCATAGGCTCCCTGGCAGCTTGTTATAGGGTAGATTTTCATAGGGGTTTTAGGGAAGCTATAGGGTAGGCATGTACCTTCTGCCTGAGTATAGATGGTATAATCGGAGAATTTTCAGTATTCAGACAATGGATCCATTGGGGAAGTTCTGCAGTGCTCTTCGCTTCTTTGATTCCTTTGTTCAGTTTAGCACCTGTCATTGTATGGCAGTTTGGTCTTGGTAATAACTTATCTTCAGGTCTAGACTCATCCATTTGGCAGTATCACTAGGCTTTGCTACCCCACCTTAAATATAGTGTACCAGCCCCAAACTTCTCATTGTACTCCAATGCCTTCCTTTTGTATCTTCTGTCCTGAAGACATCATCACCAACTTAGGAACAGAGTCTGCTCCCTTTTTTCTCATATCTAAGATCTCCTGAAATTCTGTGTACAGCTTCCTTATTCTTTTCCTCAGACTTTTGTGTCTTAGTCTGTTTTCTTCTGCTCTAATAGAATACCATACACCAAGTAATTTATAAAGAACAGAAATTTATAGCTTATGGTTCTGGAGGCTTGGAAGTCCTTTATCAAGGGTCAGCTTCTCGAGGCGGACCAGCAGTTAGTCTAATGGCTATGTTGCTGGACTCCCATGTAGTCGACCGGGGTTCAAGGCCTGGACCCAGTGGTCTAAACTCATGCCGGGCACGTATGCATATATGCCCAAGATCCTGAGAGGAGAATGGAGGAGAAGGGATTGCGGCGTGGCCATCTCCCCGGGGGGTGATTTTTCGCTTTCTGTCTCTCTGCCTTTCTGGCGAGTGCACACACCCTATAGCAAAAACCTCTGAAAAGAAGAGAAAAACAACAACAACGAAGGGTCAGCTTCTGGTGAAGGCCTTCTCGCTGCATCATCCCATGGTGGCAGGGTAAGAGAAAGTGAAAGAGAGTGAGCAAGAGTGGGTCAGTCTTGCTCTTTTATAATGCATAAGTAAGTATCAAACTTGTTCTTTTAGGGACCAGCAGTTAGCGTAATGGCTATGTTGCTGGACTCCCATGTAGTCGACCGCGGTTCGAGTCCCGGACCCGGTGGCTTAAACTACGCTGGATGCATGTACATGCATGCCCAAGATCCCAAGAGGAGAATGGAGGAGAAGGGATTGCAGCATGGCCATCCCCCCTGGGGGGTGATTTCCTGCTTTCTGTCTCTCTGTCTCTCTCTGTCTGTCTGGCAAGCACACATGCCCTATAGCAAAAATCTCTCCAAAAAAAAAAAAAAAAACTTCTTTTAGCATGAGCAAATAATAATTATTATACTATGTTTATTCTTGACATATCATTTATTGCACATATCTCATTTAATTGGCACAGTAGTCTTATGAAGAGGGCTTTATTTTTTCTTTTAAACATTTTATAGAATTAAGGAATCAGGAGTGTAGCGGTATAAGTGATATGTTGAAAGTTCCCACTAAGAATGCCAAGAACTGGGTTCTGAATTCATTTCCATTTGACTCCAGATGCTTTGACATGAATCATGCTGCTTTGTATTGTGGGTGCTGTCTTAGCAAGGGCCAGTTGACCACACCTAAGTGAATAAAAGCTGGTGAAATATTAAAAGTGAGAACAACCTGATATTCAGCAATGAGAGCTCCAAAGGATTTCACTGAAGCCTGGTTTTCTTTTAGAGCGGAAAAAAACAAAACAAAACAAAAAAAACAGTTTATCATGTGCCATGGAAGAAGTATCTCACCAGCTGCCTGAAGGCTCAACCCTCTGTCAACACGTTCTGCATTAATGCCAATGTACCCAGGGAGTAGATAAAGGGTTGGCCAAATTGTTCACATGCTTTCTTGAGGTTGTTAGAAGCACAAATAAATGCCTTAATAACAGCGATGGTAGGTGGCTTGACTTAAGTGTCAGTAACAGTTTCAGCCTCACTGTTGTTTGGTCTTCCCATCTCTAAAATACTGGAGTTGGGTGAGGTGTCTCCTTTTCAGTCCTGACATCCTGACCAGTTAGCACTGGTTTGGATTTACTGATTTACTTTCACAGTTGCGGTTAGAAACTAGTTCCACTTACAGACTGGAAAGGATGTGCTTTGGTAGCTGGAATTAAAAGTCTTAATTCTTGGCACCAGCAGGTGGTGTAATTGGTTACATTGCTGGACTCCCCGGTAGTCGACCTCAGTTTGAGTCCCAGACCCAGCGGCTTAAAACTCACACCAGGCACATGTATGTGCATGCCCAAAATCTCGAGAGGCAAATGGAAGAGAAGGGATTGCAGCGTGGCCATTTCCCCTGAGTGGGAGGGGATGATTTCTTGTTTTCTGTCTCTCTGTCTCTGTCTGTCCCACAAGCACACATACCGTATGGCAAAAAAAAAAAAGAACAAACAAACAGAAACAAAAACAAAGTCTTAACTCTTCCCCTACTCTTCTTTCCCTCGCTCCCTGCAGACGGAACCCTCTGCACTTCCACCTCATTGCAGACTCCATCGCAGAACAGATCCTGGCCACCCTCTTCCAGACCTGGATGGTTCCAGCCGTGCGCGTGGACTTCTATAACGCAGATGAGCTCAAGGTACAGGCCGAAGGGAGGGGGCCTCCTTGATTTCTGCAGTTTGGAAGGCTTTTTCGATTGTGGCTTATCACTGTAGCAATGAATGGCATCAGCCTCAGCTCCCAGCTACAGATGTCCAGGGTATAATTGAGATCCTTTGCCACTCAGACCTGGTTTCATTATCTAAAGTTTTAAAGTAACCTCTTTAATATTAGCACAGAGCCCATGTTCTGTTTGTTTCTCCCCGTCAAGTTTCCTGTAAGGACCAGAGTCCACTGGCCTGGTCCGAATCCAGAACTGATCTAAGGTAGCTATTAGTTTGAGAATGATGTTACCCAGTGAGTTAAATGCTGAACTCCGAGGTCGGTGGACCTGGGTTGGAAATGTATATTGTTGTGTATTGATCATAAGACACAGGCAAGTCATCTACCTTCACTGGAGCTGTTTTATCATTGTCGGAAAGCCGATTGTAAAACCAGCCCCAAGGGGACATAGAAAGCTCAGCTAAGAGAATATGTGAGTGTGCTTTGAAAACACTATGCCAAATGTAAAATTCTGTACTGAAAATGATGTATAGAGGCCAGCAGGTGGTGTAATGGTTAAGGTGCTAAAATCTCATATGGATGATTGTGGTTTGAGTCCTGGACCCAGCAGCTTGAAAATCACAGTGGGCATGTGTGTGTGTGCATGCCCAGAATCCCAAGAGAATGGAGGAGAAGAGATTTTAGCATGGCTGTCCCCCCTGGGGGGTGATTTCTCTTTTTTCCTCTCTCTGTCGCTTTGTCTGGTGAGTGCATGTGCCCTTTGGCAAAAACCTAAAAAAAAATTTTAAAAATTTAAAAATAAGGTGTGTAATGATGTATATGATAATATCCTTGATTCGATTATCATAAATAAATAATGGGAATAATGGGAAAGAAAAAGACTATGCTGAATAAGTATTAGGGATATGTTGGGCTAGAGAGTTTCGATCAAATAAAACATTTGGTCATGGTGTTTCTTTCCTTAAAAGCCTCTGTAGGGCTTCTTCACTTGTATGAAGATTGAGATTCATAGTCCAATCAAGAACTCCTGTGTATTCTGGCTCTTGACTCATCAGTCTCAACAGTTTGATCCCTGCAAATTTTTCCTATTAGTTAGCTCTAAGAAATCAAGACCATCTCTGGTGCTCTTTGCCCTCTGTATTATGTTCGAGTCTTTGCTTGTGCTGTTCCTTCTCTCTGACACGCCCTTCCCATCTATCTTGTCACAACTCCTCCTCATCCTTCAGGACTCAGCCTAAGAGCTTCTTCCTCTGAGAACCTTCCCTGACTTCTCCAGAAGGAAGAGGCAAGTTTCTAATGCATTTGTCTGTCTACCGAAACGTTCTTAATAGGGGAGGGAAGATATGATATGACGCATCTTACGCTTTTTTTTTTTTTTTTCCTTTTTTTGGAGAGGT